TCTCACGAAAATCCTTATTGTTGGAATAGTCTTCTTTAATATAATCAAAATCAATCACGTTAATCTACATACTTTGTAAGTTAATCACCCTACAGGCATCAACAGGTTAATTTTCAATTCCAGCGAACAATTATTTGCATTCTAGTGAGAACTCAGTTAATTTAGTATGCCCGTGTTTTAATTACAGTTGATAATTTAGATGTTTTACTGTTTGATGATCAAAATTGGAAACAATCTCAGACTACTAGTGCTTCTAGCATCAAATTGCTGGTACAAAATCATAGAACTTTTATCATAATTGGAATATTTTCTTTAGTTTCATTTAACTTCTCACTAAAATAAGCAAGTGAATATTCATCTTAATTCAAAATTCCAATTCTTACAACATATGCATCATATAAAACTTATATTAAAATCAAATAATCTAAGCACATGTGTGTAAGCCTCAATGTAATATCACTTGAAGCATGCTCTACAAATTTTTTTCATTTAGATTCTCCCTAATGCAATTTATAATAATTGTCATGATAGTATTAAACCCTTAAATGACTTGTTGATTGAAGGCAGCCTAATCATGGAAATTTGAATATTATGAATGCTAAAAGTTGTCAAACAATCCCTGATTGCTTTAACATAATCGACATCAATAAATAATCCATTACTAAGCACTACAAGGCCCAAAATATGACAGACTACATAACAAAATAGCACCTCTACAAATCTAAATAAAATTTTTATAAGTAATTTTTTAAAGACCTTCCTAGGAATATAGTAAATACCTCTGAAATTTTATTGTAAATTTTGCATAATATAAAATTTTCATATAAAAGGTTAAAGATCATAGTTCATGATTCTTATGAAAGCACTTGATTCAGTATTTAGTTTAAAAAGCATTACTAATATAACATTAACATCAACATCATCAAGCCTTTGTCCCACTAAGTGTGGTCGGCTACATGAATCCTTTTTCGTCATTGTGTCCAATTAAAAGTTAAATTCTCATTTAAATCTAATAAAGAAATATCATTTCTAATATTTTCTAACCAAGTCTTTTTAGGTCTACCTCTACCTTTCTTAACATAAGTCAAATCTAATACCTCAACTTTCCTAACAGGATCATCAGAAGGCCTCCTTTTAATATGAACAAACCATCTAAGGAGAATCTCTCTAATCTTATCTTCCACTGGAGCTACTCCAACCTTTTCACATATATGCTCATTTCGTATCCTATCTCTAAGGGTAAAGCCACTCATCCACCTAAGCATCCTCATCTCTACAACACTTAACTTAGTATTATGCTTCTCTTTTAATGACCAACATTCGGTACCATAAAGCATTGCTGGTCTCACCACCATCTTATAGAATTTTCCCTTAAGTTTGAGGGGGACTTTTCTATCGCACAACAAGCCCGATGCATTCCTCCACTTCAACCATCCAACTTGAATTTTGCTGATAATATCCTCATCTATTTCACCATCACTCTAAACAATAGATCCAAGATATCTAAAAGCATTAATAATCATTCATAAAAATTATCCTTCATCTGAAAAGTAGCCTCCCATTCATCATCATCTCTCATTTTCACTTATCATAATCATCACTTAAATCAATCTTTGAAAAACAACTACAACCATCATATTTAACATATCATCTAAATTTGGTATAGGAAATTGATATTTAATGGTGACTTTACTGCCTAATGAAGTGCAAGGATCCTTCGACTACTGCCCTTCTTAGATACAAGTAATATAATAACATATGGACTCATACTTTCCACAAGAAATATTTTCAAAAGAAGTTCATTTACTTGCTTTTAAGTTCAACAAGTTTAGTAGGATGCATTATGTAATTTGGAAAATTTAGTAATGATGACCCAAGAATCAAGTTAACATGTTTTATATTCCTAAAGGGAGCTAATACATCATGTGGTTCACCAGGACTGTTCTTTAAATTCATATAATAAGTGATCAACATCCTCAAATACAAACATACTCCTAGTTGCCTCTTTATTCAATTCAAAAGCTATCAACGCATAAATTACTCCCTCAACAATAATCCCCTTTTCAAAATCATGTTGGTTCAAGATATGCAAAGGTTTCTGTTGTTCACTAGAAGCAATTGATTCATTTGATGCGGAAGAATTATGTTTAATAAGTTTTCAAAATTACCCTCCTTCCACTATTCTTGAACATATAAGAATTGGACATTCCAAAGTGTCACATCCAAATCATACAATCACGGCCTACTCAAAACGACATGCAACATTTATATAGATAACATAGTTCATTGCATTTTATCACTATGTAAATTAAGTTGAATGGGTATCAAGCATCTTTGAGTTATAGAAAAGTAATTTTATCTACCCAAGCTATGTTGTAAAAATGTGGTGTGATATAATTATCAAATTAATGTGTTCAATAGCATATTTAGCAGCAACATTCAAGTGACAAGCATACAAAGATTTTTACCATGTTTAAAGTATGTTTGAAAGATACATATTCTCTTCCAATCAGGTTCAACTTTGGGCAAAACAGTGATGCATTATATTACATTTAAAGAGGCCTTAATTAAAACATTTTTAAAATTATTTATTTCGTCATTGAACTCATGTACTTAAAAATAATTAACTTTTTTCATTGAATTTATGTACATCATCCTCATTATTTTAATTTCTCATTGATTTAATGTACCTCATCATCATTATATTCCTCTTGAACTTTGATAAATAGGTTTTAACAAGGACATTCACTCACAAAGTGATCCATTTGATGATATTTAAAATAAACTTTAGCATAATTCTTGAAGCCAAAGTAGTAGTTATGTATTTTAACTCAGAACCTTTGTTAATGGTTGTGTTACTCTAGAAGTAACAATTTGAGAGTGAATACTTTAAAGAGAATAGACATCCTAATATGATCTTAGCTCTGATATCAATTTGATATAAGAGATATTAAGATTTAAAATTGATACAAGCAAACCTAGGGTAAGATGTACAAATATTAGAAAAACATAAAATAACAAATTTCCTAAATTCCAACAACTTAATTTAAACAAAAATCATTTTTTATATATAAAACAAAAAATGCATATTACATTCATTCCAAATAATAATGCAAAAGTTGTCAAAATTCAAAATTCCATAAGAAATCTAAAAACCAACATAAATTCTACAATGAAAGAAAATCACACTATGAAAAGAAAATTAATACATATCAAACTAATCCCAACACACACCAAGCACTAAATAATTAAGAAAAAAGAACATAGGATAGTAGTTCAAATTACAAGATTTAGGGCTCATGTTGATGCAAGGAGAAACGTTTGCTAGAAGTTGTCTGTTAGACCAGGTACTTCCTGGACTGGCTCTTGCATATAGGGGGGTGGAACAGGGGTTCCACCCATTATTTCATGCCCCTTTTTGGGGTGAGGCCTAGAGAACTATTTCAAAGAGGAGATGGGGGAGTATTAGAAGAGAAAATTAATATGAAGAGGCTGTTTTGGGATTTGAATTATTTTTGTATGCTTTAAGTAGGTTATTTTTCTAGGGTTAGGATTATGTATGTTTTTTGCAGAAATTAGAATTTCCTAGAAGGTTTGGGCTCTAGCCGGTGGCTAGTAGGGATTTAGGAGAAATGATCTTCCTCTCCAATTGAAGATCTATTTTATCTTGTTCGCTTTCTTTCATATATCATCAATTAAAATGTTTTTCTCCTAATTTTCCACATCATTCTTCTCAATTACTATTTGGACTTTGCTGAAATTAAATTTCAGCCAAAATTTTTCTCCTATTTCTACAAGCATTTCCTATCATTGTCATAAAAATTGAAAGCGCTTAAAGAACCCGTATCTAATAAAACTCTTAAGAATTATGTCAAAATAATGCTTTTTATACAAAATTCATTGGAAAATGCATGTGCGGAGATTTAATTTATAACTCAAAAGACCCAAGATTAGGAACTTCTCATATTTCATGGAAATCTAGCCCAAAAGTAAAAGTTTCAATTTAACACATCTGCATTCCAGCATGGATAGAATGTTTCCATCCTTAGTTTAAACAAAGCAATAAATTATCAACTTTAAAATTATGATTCCAACAATTCCAGCAATTTTCACGCTTCCTGCTACAGCATGATGCCATGAAGGAAATCAATCACAGCCCGCAAAAGAAAAATCATAGAAGGAAAGCAGTTGCTGAAGGAAAAAGCCACAAAGAGGCATAAGAAACAGATGTAGCTAGCGCCCAAAAGAAAATCAAGAATCACAACATATGTTACAGTACCCAAGCCAAGTAAAAGCATAGTGCAGTGCCCAAGGAAACCACCAAGTGCTAGAGCCATAGAACGGGAAGCTGGAACCTGAGCTGTAGTTGATGCCAACTGAATTGAAACCATTTACACAAGTAAACAAGGCCTAACAAGATAACCAAAACATGAAAGAATACATCCATTTCTCATAACAATCATCATCATAGGTACATTTTCAACAAAATAAACTATAAAAAGAAAATACAGAACAAATTAATAATGCTCATCTCAATATTCATTTTCTTAGCTTCTAAAAAGTATAAATTTTTAGGTTTCTATCACCATAGCAATTACAATCATTCATTTCCATCAGAAACGGATGACATACTAATAGTAAATAAATAAAACTACGGCTCTTGTAATTATGGCTTGGTAACTCAAATTCTTTTTTCTAGTCCGTATTGTTAAGAAAAAAAAGATTTATCTAATAAAAAGACAAAATCCATTCAATGGGCTATTAAATCAAGTTTACACAGGGGTTAACAAAGGTAAATACATATTTATAGTGAACCACTTTTCTTATCATACTATGACAAAAGTTATTACAGTCAAACAAAAAAATTTATATTTGGTTCATATTTTCAAGAGTAATGATATTTCAAAAAAACTGACCTACGCAACATCACCGTAATAACTTTAAGAAACTATATCATCTCTAATCAATCAATCAATAGCAATAAATATAAACAGACTAACCTGCTAGCTTCGAGTAATGGCAGATGATCATTCTCGGGCTTTTCAAACAAGTTTTTGACCTAAGAATGGGAAAAAACAATGGACTCTGATGATATCAAATAATTGATGCGTCTTCATGCAAAATAACTGTTAAATGCATATAGTTTAAATAAATAGCAGTTATAGTAAAAAACCTTTTGCTAGACAGGCGGTATAACAGAAACTTAATCAATTTTATACTCATAGAGACGTATTGCATTAGTGTAAAAAACTGCATTTAGTTTTACACCAACCCTGAATTAAAAAAAAAAAAAACAAGCTTTGACTAGAACATTTGTACCAGACATCTAAAACCCTTATTGTAAAGTCATAATAATTTTCAAATATTACAAATAAACAATTTAGTCATGGAAACATCTGCCCTTATGCGGATGGAACTGACCATTCTAACACTTCGTTTGGTATGGCTTCTGTTTTTTGAACAGCCAGGAGAAAAGAAGTTGTTTAAAAAACTGTGGTGAATTGAAAATTTGTTGATTTTTGCTCGGAAGATCTGTGATTGAGCTGCTACTTGTAAATCCGAAATTAATTTTACTTTTTGGTTGTAGCATTTTTTTTTATTGCAATCTCCTCACAGAATATTATCGACATGGTATTCTCCACGTCATTGGATAGAGTGAGGGAGGGAGAGCTCGCAGTGATATCAAAATTGTGTGTCAGCTGTGCCACAATCATCTGCTCGTGAAATCATCTCAATATGATGTTCTCCGCATTGTTGGATTGAGTAGAAGGGTTCATTGCAATGTTGTCGTTGTGAGTTCCACTCACAAAATCAACAGAGAGAGTACATTGAAGCATCAGTGCCATTCGATGCTAGTTTATGTCCGGTTTTAGCTTTTTGGTTTTAAGGGTATAAAACATATAAGTAATATTAGGGATACAAATGTATTTACATCTATTGCCAAAAGATGAAACACAAACCTTGCAATCAAACTGCAAGAACAGTAAAATGGCTAAACTCATGAAGAGTGTCAAACAAATTTCCCTTAATCCTTAGTTAACGTAGAAACCAAGCAAAACAAAATTTGCTTTTCTAAAAACAAACACAATACATAAGCACGATCCAAACAAAGCCTAAATCATCAGAAGCATTTATCCATTGAATTTTCAACCACCACATCAACCAACAAATATACTGATTGAAAGCATTCTAGATGATATTTGTTATGATGATGCCTCAAAAGTGCTAAAAAGTCACAGGTTCTTAATACTCTCTAAGAAAACTCTACATAATAGCATAAGCATTTCAGAGTATGATTAACACCCAAAATGGAAATGAAGTGACTATCTAAATACTTAAATGAGCTAAAGAGAGCATACCTTCGCCAGCAATTCCTGGCTCTCTGGAGGTTGCTTCTTGAGAGACTGTGGTAGTATAACAGTAAGCAGCTCTGGTTTTTCTGCTCTCAGAGCGCCTCTTATAACAGCTGCATTAGTCCCTGATGCTCCAGACGTGTAGATATGGTTTTTCTGGAACAAAACTTGTTCACAATTTAGATAATATTTCAGTAGTGTATGAGAATAACAAAGCAAGAAGTACAACTTAATACCGTGATCACCATAGCATAACTTAGAATCTCAATAAGCTGCTGATGCATGAATCCCATATTCCGTGTCCCAAAGAAGCCAATTGCTCTGGGTCCTTGCTGCTGGATGGCCAATAATTCCTGATGAATTGAAGTTACAGAAATCACATTAAGAGAAGCATAGCAATGCACTACTACTATGAGCATCAATTCAAAGAATATAAGTTCCATTAAGATGCTTCAAGTCACCAAGCAGCAGTAGGATGAATATTTTTTTAGGGTCTTGGTTTTTATTATTATTACCTGGCTGGGTTTCATGGACTCCTGGCTACTGGATTATGATGAACTAATAAAATAATTCAGTTAAAGAACCAAATATCTTTATCTTATATCCACATTCGCTAGCATTCAAATCATCCATAATATGAAGCCACAAAACGCTCCTTTAATTAAGTCAAGCTATGCACGAAAATTCCAATGAAATCATAGAGTACTAAAAAATTAATAATGCAAACCACTAAGATGCCCAACTGCCCAAGAATCATCCTTTCTTCTCAAGATGCATCTGCTAGAAATATAACCAATAATAACAATCCTATATGAAATACCCAAAAGGATTTCTCTCCTAGAAGAGCATGTAATTTAAGAAAATTTTCCTTTTTTCTAACATGTTCACCAATTAAAACTAACCTAGAAAATTTGCTAACAATGACACCAATGGATTCACTGATACCAAAAACAGTCACAATACATGGACGCAAGCTCCTTGAAAATAACCAATACATGTAGGCCTACATATTTATTTCAGAACTAGGCTATGGACCAGTATATGAGCAAAAGTTAAGTATAAAGACAAGAATCTAGATACCTGTAAATAATCAATATCAGGAATTGGCTTGTATTCTGATACAACCACTGTGCCTGAACCTTCAACAACTGATTGAGCTTGTGTAGGAACTTGGGGGCCAACCACCTCATCAGACCCAAACATAAATAGGTCATTGTGACCTTCATTTTCCAATGAGCTTGTGTCTTCTTGTTTTCTCATAAATCCACAAGACAGCAACTATTGAAATAAAAAAGAGCCCCTGGCAATAAATCATTAGTAAAAACCAAACATATCATGACAATTAAGCAACAACAATAATAACAACATTAAGCCTTTATCCCACTACGTGGGGTCAGCTACATAAACTCTTTTTTCTCCATTATGTCCTAGTAAGAGTCAAATTCTCATTTAAATTTACTAAAAAAAAGTCATCTCTAATACTTTCTAATCATGTCTTTTTAGGTCTATCTCTACTTTCCTAAACCCATGAAAATTAAGCAAGGAAATAATAAGTAAGATCCTTACAAAGATGCATTACAGGAGATCATAAATTAATTTTCAAAAATATAAATATGTATTGCATAAAAGAGGTTAAAGAATACATTTTTAATTATGTCTCGTACAACCTCATAAATGCATTCGGCAAGCACTATTCTGATAAGAGGTATTATGTAAAGTTGAATAAAGGGAACTTTTCATAATAGAAATAGTATTATTTTCCAATAAACAAAAAAAATAAACGTAGGGGCATAGTCACAATACTTGTGCGAGCATGACCATGTTACCTCACATGGGTATGGCACTCCTTGTATAAGAGGCAGTTGACCACTATGCTTGTGGGTGTGGAAAACATTTCTCATAAAGGTGGGTCATTGATAAAATCAACCTATGGCGCTAAAAATATTGAAAGCTGGAAATTTTATAAAGAGATTGGTAAAGTAAGAAACTACAACTTTTGATAATTTACATACAGGTACTAAGAAAAATGAGAATAGAAAATATATAAAATATTTAAAGGTAATAAATAAGTGGTCTAAAAACTTTCATCAAGTTAGATGCATTAAAATCAAAGATGATGACATCAAGTAAGAAAGAAAATTCTACTTTGAGAATATATTAAATAACTGTTTTAAAGGTTATTTCTTTTTATTTTAATGCATAACGTGGAGATTGATAAGATATATTATAGATTAATCCAAATAAGTGAAGTGATTTGAACTCTATATAAAATGCATACAGGTAGAACTTCAGTCAAGATAAGATGCCCATTGAGATCTGGAAAGTTATGAATGAAATTACAGTAATTTTGTTATACAAAACACTATTAATGAAATTTTGAAAGACTAAGAGAATACTAAATAATTGAGGAAGAAATGTTTTGATATAAATATTCAAGAACAAAAGAGACATATAAAATTATGATTATTATAGGGAATCAAACTTATGTGCCATAAATGAAGTTATTTAAGAGGTAATAAAAAATAGACTTCGATCAAATATATTAATATCAAAGTTTGAAAGTGCGCAATAGAGTATTGAAGCATTCTCTTTTATGAGGCAAGGCATAAATTTGGAGGCATTTTAAGTCATAAGCCTCAGCATTAAACCATTAAATTAATAAAAAAATATGAAATTGTAAATAACATACTAAGCAATATCAAAGTATGATGTCAAATTAAAATCATAAAAATCAAAATAAAGCAATAAAAGGCCATACATGAACTAAGAAATAACACTTCACCACTCCCAAATCAATACAAGTAGTTTAAGATCAAATTTATAAATTCAAAAGTTACCCCTAATCTCATCGCTCAGAGAGTCTTCATTAAAACCATCATTATAATTAATTTCTTTCTCTCCTCCATCATCTTAAGTTATATCAACTTCTGCACAATATTCTTCCTCATCAATCCCAACTATATTCCTCTTTCCTAATCAAAACAACTAATAAATATTAATTAAATTTTAAAACAATGAATATTGATAATTGTAATTTCTATTACATAAACATTTTATGCAAACCTTTCATGTCATTTTCTTGCAACTTGTCTCAATCTTGTTACTTCATCAAAAAACTCAATATCAAAATCTTCCACTTATAATTGTGATGGTGTAACTCTATTTTTTTCCTCTACAAATCATTCGTCATTTAATGACACATCATTACTTATTAATGTATTTTAGTCATCCTGCTAAATTGTCTTCTTTAAATATCTATCAATTAATCTCTGATATATAATGAAAACCAATGAGTTCACCCTTAAGATAGTTAAGTGACTTCTTCACTTACTATGAATTTGCTATCTGTACTCCAATTTTGCTCACACCCTAATGACAAGCATATAAAATTTGATACTTCGATTGGAAATCTTTACAATTTTGGAGTATTAATTAATTAAGAAAAAGCATAATTAGAAACTACAGCACAACAACGGCATGAGCAACACAACAGAGTCAAGGTTTAACCTTGAGGGTTTCTACAGTGAGCGGTTTAGCTTGCAAGCCTTGAGGCTGTGCAATTCCTGAGACTAGCATATTATCAACTTGGTTTAGGTTTAAACAAAAGCAAATATTTTTAATTTTAAATACTCAATTTATAAATTAAATTTTTAAATAACCAAAACCTTAATTTATAAGCTTATGTCATCTCAAAAATAGCACTAAGGGCACCTTACCCCCATTATGGCGTACGCCATATCTAGCAAACATGAGGCATACACCATATTATATTTTTCCAAATAGTAATGCTAAGGAACGTCTCTAATTATGCAATTTTAAACATTGATTAATATCAAAGAATAATTGTGTATGTTAGAAAGATCCACTGCAAACATATTTTTGGACTTTGGATGTTTTAAAATATGTATATTAGAAGTGCAGTGAAGTTAAAAATACGTGCATATTAGAAATGCATGAACTATTTGGTTGAAAGCAAGTCAAATGTAAGGAAATACAACAAAAAACTCCGAGTGATTGTCAATAGGTGACGTGGTGATGCTCAATAGTGAGCGATTGCGGCAAGCAGCTATGGTAGGCGGCGATGGCAATGATAGTGGTGGTGATAAGCAGGTGGTTGAGGCAAATGACCACTAAGAATTTCCATTGCATTTAGAATTTGCTCAATTTTAACAAATTCCAAATTCCCTTAAAATTGACATAATGGAATATTCCTAATTCCTGGCATTCATGCTTTGATTTAATTTACTTCACACTAAACACCAAAGAAATTAAAACGTATGCATTTCTTTTACTTTAGACTCATAATATTTGCAACGAAATAGTAACAAGGCAATTAAGGAAAAGTATTAAAAATTTAATATTTTTCTTGACATTTAGAAGGCGTTTCAAGTTCCCTCTTCAAAGTCACTTTTAAAGAGGTGAGAAGTGAGTTTCAACCAAATCAACTTCAATTTTGCTTATTTGCGTAAAATGGTGATATAATAATTTATAATATTAAACTTATAGGTTAATGGCCTGAAATATTGATGTTATATAAAATAATAATAAAATAATGCAAAATTAAGATGAGCATGGAAAAAATGAAACCCTCTATAAATAAAAAACGCAAGAATAGAGTTCACAAAAAGTCAAATCATGGCTTCCTGCAAAAACAAATGGATGTCATTGCAACTCATTGCAATTCAACTCACTCTCAAAATTGAGATACAAACATGTTAAAGCACTTGCAGAAAAACAAATTGACTTAAGTGTGCATCTCATTATATTGATTATGGAGAAGCTTATAAAGAAAATTCATAATGGCATATCTTTGTGTTTATTTTTCATATATGATATAATTCTAATAAATCAGGCCTCTACTAAAATAAGTAAGAAAATAATGGAATGTATGTTTAAAATACAAAGGACTTATGATTAATAGAACATAGAGTATATTTTATGCATTATGGTGTATGTCAGTTGTTAATTTACTCAGTACACATGGTGCAACACATTTTTGCATCCGGTGAAACATTGAGAGTGGTTGCAGTAATATCAAGAAAAATGAGAATAAATATGAGGATTTAACTTTAGAAGTTAAGGCTGAGTGACTAATAAGGAAAACTAGCTCAAGAATATTGTGTTAATAACAGAATATCAAGAAGACCTAAAAGAAAGTTTTATATGTTGCACTTAGGCCAATTATGTTGAATGGATCCAAATGTTGGTTACATTGATACAATGTTGGGTATGACAAGAAAATAAATAATAAGAATTTAAAATGAATGTACAACAAAACTAGAAATAGTGGATTAAGAAATGATTAGATAAAGACGAAGAAGCATCAACTACAGATAGGTAGTAAAATCTAGATTTAGGTGGTTTCGGCCTATATAATAAAGGGTGGTAAAAAAGATAGCATCAGTATTTTGAGTGCATAAAGTTAAGTGTTGAATAATTAGAAAGAAAAAGGGTAAAGAAAATGTAATATGGATAGAATTCTTTATAAAATAAGTTTATCACCTCATGCAACACTCAACAAAAAAAAATGGAAACAAAGAAGAGAATTCATAAAGATGACCCCAATAGTTGGGATAATATGGAGATATATAAAAGTTTCGAAAGAGAGATGTCCAAAGGTTCATCTCTCCAATTGTTGATGCCACTACCAATTTTTCTACCATACAAGCACATTTTTGAAAATTTTGTTAACCAATTTTTTTACTGTATGGAAGTTTGATATTAGCTACAAAGCTAATTGTGATCATGTGAAGTATGAGTAAAGATTTTTTTTTTTTTTTTTAATGATAGAATAGCATATGCCAATCAAGAAAAAGGCCAGGAACTAAGGATCCATATACATTATGGAGACATTGAAGGAATTAAAATAAACAAATTACAATCATAGAACAAGTTGGACCAAATAGGGGGAAAAAGTCATGAACACCAATTACAAAATCCTAAAACTTTTCTTCAGAGAAACCGTTAAAAACATTAAGGTTGCATGTAGATAGAAAATATAATTTTATTTTCACTCATTTTGAGAATGGAATTGAAATGATTAAAGTTGAGGAGGTTTTGTGAAGCTGGAGTTAATATTAATTTCTAATCACATCAAACTGAATAATGGATTTATCAAATTCAATAAGTTGCATAAACATGTTTTCTAACTTCAAGCAACCCAATGAGACCTAAAAAAAATTAAAAATAATTAAAAAAAAACTGATCAATGCCACGTAACAAATGAGAACTAGAATGTCAGTTTTTGGCAAGCAATGGTGACAAAAGTATAACGAACCCAAAAGTAGGAAAAAGCGAGATTTGGTGAAGTTAATAGATATCAATCCTTAAAATTAAAATAATGCACATGCTCCTCTTGCCCAAACAATGTGAAATTTCTTCAAAATAGAAGCTATTCAGCATACGGCCACCTAACGAAGATCATTACTACAAACGAAAAGAACAATACTAGATCTAAAGAGAAAATATCAGTAAAGCCCAAAAAAACCTCATTTTTCTAGAAGCAGAGAAGGGTTTACCGGACTCAAGGATAGAAATCTGCTGGATGGACGAGTTCTGCCAAGGGACCATCTTCTACAGCAAAAGGAATCAGTTGATTGATAGATGGAACTACGGCTTTGAGATGTGCCTCGTGGACCGACGGAGGAGTGAGAAGTAGAGGAGAGAGGCGTCTTCGGGGAGGGCAGCGCAAACCCCAGCGAAGGAAAACCCATCGCTCACCTTTTTCAAACCACCACTTTGATTTGAATATACTCTTTTGCTTTTTCACTCCTTTTAGCGGCAGTGAGAGAAAAAGAAAGGTAGAAAGAGAAGAGAGAAGGCCAAGAGGAAATCTTAACCAGCCATATCATCAGCTTGTCTTCTTGTTCTCCGTTGCTTATGGAACATGTGACCTCTGACATTGTTTTTTTATCACAGTACGTTTGCCATATTTTTTCCAAGTAATGTTATAGTTCTAAAAAATTTATCTTCTATTAACCTGATGTACTATAGAATACGTATATTTGAACAAATAAATCTCATATATTTTGAAATAATCATTTTTTTTATTATTCAAGCTATCATGTTTCAAATAAGATTATGAAAATCGGATTGGACAAAGAATATTTCACATTATAAAACTATATTTATAAAGTCATATAAAATTATTTTTTAATTTCATTTAATTTTGCATTTAGAGAGAAGTTTTATAACTTTAAAATTATAAATAATTATTTTTTACTTGAATAATTATAAATATACAAATAATTATAAATTTAAGAACTTAAAAATTTATTATAATTATTTTTTATTAGAATATTTTATACAAAATTTTTTCAACAAATTCTCATAGAAGCATCCATCATGCACATATTATTGAAACTAGAAACTGTTAGTTGTTTAGTCTCACATCACTTAAGAGTTTTATGCTGTGTTATTTATATACATTTTCTTGTATACATGGCTTAATATCCCATATGGGGTAATGAAATCGTGTAAGTATGATTAACTAGTATTTATTATACAAAACTTTTTTTGAACCTAGTTGAAATAAGTTTTGTATCATATTTGGTTCAAAAAAAAGTTTCAACCATTATAGTTGAATAGAGGTTCAAAACTAGAGATTTTAACCTTGTCCAATCCAAATATGTTGTTCTAATATTGTTTGAACCTAGGATATGACCATTACATTTGAAACAAAAGTTTGAACATATGTATATGGAAATATAAAGAAAGTTTGGTTCAATCTAAGTCACCCTAATTCAAGACAAGCTAACTCAAATTACTTGGTATAAGCTCAAAAGAAACTTGTCATTCTATAAGTGAATTCACATTAAGCATGCTACTACGATCTAAGAACTTATCCTAGTTAGGCGAGTCTGATTTATCAGTCAACCTTAGAAAATATGATCTATGAAGTCAATGAGCCATTGTGTTACTTAGTTAAGCGAGGGTGGTTTATCAATCGACCCTAGCAAATATGATTTATGAAGTCAATAAGCCATTGTCTTACTCAGTTTGGCAGCCTCATGGAAAGCTATTGATTTACTATTCGACTATTTGTCCATCAATGCATGCTAAGTGAGAGACTTCTTAGAGGCTCGGTGAACAACTTCATTGAGTCGCATATTCTAATTAAGATATACAACTTTTATATTGTGATGCCCTATGATCTAATGGAAGGATAAATGACCTAATCCTATAAATTTACGCAACCACAAGCCAGAATAAATAAAGGCTACTATAAAATTAAAATAATTAGAATATAAATAGAAGCAACCATTTTATTTCATTCATAAAATACATATATAATAATCTAGGCCACATATGTTCTATGCATCAAAAGAAATATATTGGATTACAAAAGAACACCTTAATTACTTTTGTCTTGGAAATCATGGCTCTATCTTACTCTTTTGACTCTGTTGGTGTTGACCTCATTTTTGTATGAAATCACTTTTAACTCCTTCTTGAGCTTTGGACCTTAGGTTTCTTTGGACTTTAGATGCTAGGATCTTCCTAGTTCCTAGACCTCGGGCCCAATCCAGATCTTAACTCAATTCAAACCCAGAACCCAGGGTTAAAGGCTCAGGTCCTAAAATCCTTTCTAGATGATTTTTTCATCACCTTGAAACCCAGTCAATTGGCATCTGATTTAGGATTTGTCAATTCCATATTGATGTAACATGTCTCTAGTGCCAACCCTCCAAATTTGAATTTATTTGGAGGATTCTAACACTATAAACTTAATCCAGTTTCAAAGGTTGCAAAACCTTCAAATATTTACAATCAATGCCACTAGGCCTTTCACCCAGTGGAATTTGGCCTTGGAGCCCCCTCCAAACCCTTTGATCACTCTCAATACCTTGATATTGATTTGTTAAGCAATAGTCTACATCTTACTATATTCAATTTGACCCAGAACTGACTCAAGGCCAAAATGCCCTTAAAGGGAGATTTTTGGACTTTTAGCCTAGACTCAACTTGATTTAACCATCAATCTTTGAAATCTTCTTAAAATGTTTTCAAATAATTTTTGAGACCTCTTGAAATTCAATTCCAACCTTGGGTCAACTTTATTGACCAAGTCAGCCTATTTTAACCTAAAGGCCCCTTAAGGGTCAAAATGGTCATTTTGACACAAATGACCCCTCCACACCTTGATACCCGATCCATTAGGCTCACATGATCAAATTGATTTCAATGCATCTAACTCTTAGTCCTTGGTCAACTTGGTTGACCAAGTCAACCAAGTTTGATCAAATGACTCATATACCTCCTTTCACCTAAACCTTTTGACCAAAAACAGTTCAATCTCATTTAAATCCAAGAGGTGACTCCTTAGACTTCCAAGAGACCCCTCTTAGAAATCCAAGTCTTGGGCTCACTTGGGTTAGCCTTTTGGCTTGACCCAAGTGCCCAAAGAGAGGCCCCCTTTGAACTATTTCTCAATCTTAATCAAATTGAACCCAAACTAAGGTGTCATTGGGTCTCCCTTGACCCAATACACGTCCCTTAACCAGTCCAGCCATTGAATCCACTTGGGTCAAGAGTTAGGTTAACCCAAAGTGGCCAAAACCACTTGGGATTGAGCCAACTCCTATCCTAAGCTCAATTGAACCTAACCAACACCTCTATTAGGTGGCCCTATGTCCAATACACATCCCCCAACTGGCCCAAGTCTTGGGTTGACTTGGGTCAACTTTTGGGCTACACCAAAGTCGTTAAAACCACATGGATCCGAGCCATCTTTGAACTCAAGACAAATTGAACTCAATTGCCACTTGCATTGGGTGGACCAGACCTAGACCCATCTCCCACATTAATCCTAGTGTCTGGCCTAACCTAGATTGAGCCCAATTTGACCCAAACTGAGCAGGTTTGGGTCAAACCAAGTCACCCGATGGAATTGGACCTCCTTAGGCCCAATTGAGCTCACCCTTGAGTCCAGCATGTCCCTATCATTCTTTCCAGGTCAACCCGACCCAGACCTTGGCCGGCAGCGGCCGAAACTAATGGAGAACAAGCTCTGGTGGTCCCCCCGTTTGATCCTGACCCAAAGCCTTCCAAAGGCTGGGGCTCACCAGCTTTAGACTCATGAGCCCTCTAGGAGGATGTCTCCCTCCACCTAGCGCTCATCTAAGGCTTCTCCCAGTCAATCTTGGCCATCCAAGCTCGCGGGAGGTGGCTGAATAGGGCAACTCATCCCAGCAGCTGCCATTTGATCCTAGGCTTTCAAAATCACTCCCCAAAGCTTCCTCATCTCTCCTGTTTCATTTCCTAGCTTCCCAGACTGTCTCGTTGATCCGTTCAAGCGAACTCCAGTAAAAGCTTTTGGCACCACACTCGAAGTCATACCTCCGTCCATCCTCCAGTCCTGGTGTCTGAAGGAGATCTTCTCGCCTTCATCCTCTGAAGCTTCCTGATAGAGAAGCTCATCCGTTGAGGCCTTCTCTACGGTAATCTCTCGGTCCCAAGCTCCCTAGATAGGTAGTCCAGTCAAGTGTGAAGGAAACCTTCATCCCATCGGATCTCCACCGTTGGATTGAAGGTTTCTACCCCCCTGATCCTCCCTGTAAAATTTCAATAAAGTTCATTGGTGGATCGCTTGGATCACGCCGGAAAAGCCCTACGGCTTCGGGTTCGTGCGGGAGGTGGAAGACGTAATCCAAACCATTGATTCTAATCAATGGTGAGGAATAGATCCCACGATTCCGGAGGCCATTTGATTGTGGCCGTCCAATCGCCCATCCGACAGCTACGGTTAATTCTACCGTTATCCAGTTAGCCGCCAATGATTGCTCCTCCAATCGTGACACGCCGCGTGTAAGGTGCCGGCTGATTGAGTAATTAGAGGATTTAATTTTAAAGAAAATCAAGGGGAACTTCAAAAATTGATATCTCCCTGCACACTTGATCAAATTAGGTGTTCTTAGGCTCATTGGAAAGATCTCAGGGAGATCTATAAAAGCCCTATGATTCCAAGCTCTAATTGCATATGTATTAAGTTTAATTTCAATATTAGTATTTTATTATTTATTACATTTATTGCTTAAAATGAATTCACCAGGGCCTGGAATTTTGGGAGAATGAATTTGGGCATGTCCCTGACATGTCCAAATTTTGCCTCCCCTGTTTGAAGTGTCCAAGGGCATTATCATGCTAATTTTAGTTTGAGGGTCATGGGTTGACCCTCAAATCCAAATTGGAATCATGATATATCCGATGAGTTTTAGGATTTGATTGTGAATGTGGTGATGATGTGTAATATAAGGAGTTTAGGGCCAGTGATTTTGCTCCAATCTAACCCTAGGATAGCTCCCTAGGATTTTTCTAAGGTGACTTAGGGATCACCTTAGGTGGCTTGGTTAGCCACCTTAGAGAACTCCATTTAGGCCCAAGTTTGGTGTGTTTTGGCTCTGAGATTAGGTGATCTCATGGTCCAAATCTCATCATATTTGGTGCCCATTTGGTCCACTAATTAGGGGCCAAAAAAAATTCCCTCTCTAGAACTGGCCTAAAGCCTAATTAATTCACCAAAAATTCTTATTAATCCCTAAAAATGGATAAAACACCCCTAACTAACCCTGATTAATTCCTAAATCTATAGAAATTTGAATCATTTTAATTTGACATTAAAATCCACTTTAATTTAATTTTAATCAAAATTAATGTTTAATTATTTTAATTAATTAAAAATTATTAAAAATCCAAAAAAATCTTTAAACACTTACTGATCTCTCCTTAGATCATTTTTTATCTTTGGATTTGATTGCAAGAGATTTGGGATTTATTTGGGCTCAAATCACAAAATAGGCTTTCCAATTAAGGTAATTAGATAATTCCAATAAATACCCAAATTTCTAAAATTCATAATTAATTATAGAAAATTCCAAAT